GGACAAGCGGTAGATGATGGATGGATGGATAGTAGGTAGGGTGTGCAAAAAAGTTACATGACGCGAGTAGGTAAACATAGACTAATGTATCTTGTCTAGTTTAAACAGAAGCATAGAATAGACAGAAAAGAAAAAATAAAAACACGAATTTTTAGGTCAAGATTGTTTCAAGAATTTTTTGGCACGCCATCATCTCTCCTGCCATATGCCTGAAGCAACATCTTTGGGAAGGGCTACAGCTTTCAATAAAACTACGGTCGGGGAGTTCTTTGACAATCTGGCAAAGGTGATGGACAGGTAACAGCATTCATGCACAGTATTTGACTACATTAATAACTACACCACAGCTGACAAATGAATTACAAAAAATAAACAGAGAGGCAATAGGGAGTGTATCACCAAAAGACAAGGAACGTTGAGGAGGAAACAAGCAAAGATGAAAATCACCGTGTTCAGTAGCTCTGAAGACAGTGATGTTGCTATCCCATTTGATGACACTTCTGATGAGAGCTCTAATGAAAAGAGAAGGGAACCAGACATCTCAGATCTCTTAATTGGTGACTTTGTCATAGTAACATTTGCATCAAAATGCAGAAGCTACAATTACACTGGCTTGGTTGAGAGCCTTGAGGGCAATGACGTCAGCGCAAGATTTCTCAGAAGAATCCGGGGGAAATCTGGCAGTGAGAAACCCACCTTTGCATTCAACGAAAAGGATGAGGCATCTTTTCCACTGAGTGATGTTTTGAAGAAGCTACCTCATCCTCAAAAGGCTGGAGAAACAGCAAGGAGGGAGCAACAGTTCATTTTGCCCTGCAACCTTGACGATTGGAATATTTTATTATATTAACTGTTTTGATTGTTCAATTCAGGTTGGAAATAATCTGTGGGTTGTTCTCAGAAGTTCACATCCATGAAAATGTTTGTAAACTTAGTTATGCACAGGTTACTCATGTTTAAACTTAAAAAACTCAGTGGGTCAGTTTTTCCCGCAGACATACAATGACTTTGATCAACTTACCCCTAACATGGGGCAAGTTGAGCCAAAGGGGCACTTTTTTTGAGAGATCATTTTTCTTCGGGCAGATTTGTCATAGATACATTCTGATAATTTCATTTGATAGGAGAAATCCTGAAATAAAGGCACATGTTTTCATTTTACTTCTGTCTCATTTTATTTCCCTGTGAGGACTTTATAAGTAAAAATTGCCTCAACTTACCCCACTCTGCTCTACTGCCAGATTATGAGTGATTCAATAAATTGATGCATTACCTCAAAAATGATAACTCTACTACTTCTAGTTGTTATATACTGTAATAGTCATGTACTGTCACAGATGTCAGACTGCAGATACATTGTAAATAGAAAGATACTAAACTGCTGTTTTTTTTGGCAATTTCTGTTACTGGTTACAGAAGGAAAGATACAGTGTTACCTTCCTGGCTCATTATTACTGGTATATGTTGTGTGCAAAATGTAATGATCAAATCAAAATCAAAAAGGCTAATAATAACTAATGCAAGAAACTACAGAATTGACTTCTTCAGAGTATTTGCCACATTCCTTAAGAAGATTTTGGTCCAAACTTTCACAATGTCAGCCAGTGTTCAGTGTATCAATTTTCTTAGCAGCCACAGATCTCAGGGGAAGTTCCAGAACTCTCCGCTTTGGACCTAACCCTGTCTCCCGTTTATACATCATGTATCTCAACCAGCTGGTTCCGCCTTTATTGGTGTACAGGCTGAAGCTATCTGTGATGGAGCAATTGCAAGTAGATATCAATAAAATACCTGACAATAATATTTAATCATTAAAGGATAAGAATAGGAATGACCAAAAACTGTTCATTAAAGGGGGTTTCTTGCCAAGTTTATACCATTTATTATCATTTATTACTACTAATTCACTAATTATACAGTTATTTAAATTAAGAGCCGCTCATGTTAAGGAACAGTAAAAGGAAAACACAAAGAAGAAAAACTTTTGCGCCTTGGACTAAAAATATTGATGCACTGATATAAGTGTTCCCTGTGGGATCGGGTCCTTGGCCTTCTCAAAACAGGAAGAGCCCTGAAACTCTGTATCAGTTCCTGGGAACATGGCCTTGAGAGCTAGCCCAATTCCCAAGGCGCAGGGTGAGCAGGACAGAGTCAGGGGCCCATCCGGCCTGCATCATGAGCGCTGTCTGATCAGACTTCCCCTCACAGTGGAGATTTTAATGTAAATTCCTCTTTCTAAGATTCCTCTTTTTAAGATGGCAGCACAATGCATTATAGATGACAGTTATCACCAATGGCATTTTTCTCCACCTATCCGTCAGGTCTTTTTTTATGCTGCTGGGGACCAAACATGGGTTTACATGGGTGCATTGCAGGCTCATGGGAGTTTTACTTGCACAAAATGTTCTGAAAGCAGAAAGAAAAATGATTGGTTCAGAAAGATAACCAATCAGACTGTAGAGTAGGGAGGTACCAGAAACTAAGGGAAACAGGACCAACCAATCAGATGTCTTGGTCCATTCTCCTCTAGTTGCTTGGACCCACCTCCTCTATATTCTGATTGATTATCTCTCTGAACCAGTCATTTTGCATTCTGCATTCAAAACATTTTGTATAAGTAAAACTCTCACAAGCGCATAGCAGCCTCAAATTAAGTCAAGTATTTGTAGAGCACAGTTCACACAACTCACATTGAATAATGTGCCTTCTCAGGTGACGGTCAGTCAGCCCATGACTGTGACGTGGTTGTGGGGATCTTGCCTCCTGACTAACTTCAGTATTAGTTAGTGATTATGTTCTGGACTCAGTCCTGCTGGTGACTGAGTTCATCACATGTCACCATCCCCTGTGTTCACCAAGTGATGCTTGTAATCACTATTTCAGCCTCTTCCTTAATGAATGGGAAGAAATCAGCAAATCGAGTGCACCTTTTTAGCTGATAGACAAACAGAATTAGTATCTGGAGCAAGTGAATATCACCCAAAAAGTGCTGGCTACCCTTGACACCATGCATGGCTGTCAACCAGCAGCCTAATTCTTGGTTAGTTGACTAGACCCCTGCTTGGAAATGGGCTGTAATAACACTTCTGTGGTGAATCCAGCTAAGGTTGAACAAAGGTATTTTCTAGAACCTAATAAGGGTCAGGTCTATGGAGGTATGAGGTTCAAGAAGAAGAACATTTAACATTAAATCTGATATCATCAGGATCAAATATGTTTTTTTGAATGAAGGGAACAGTAAGAAATGTTTTTGAACTTTTGCATTTTTCTACATGGTAATGAAGTAAAGGTTTTATAAGTAAGTAAAGGCTTTATATTAGAATGACATTGTCCAGACAATTTCTTTTTTTCCTTTTTGCACTAAGGTTAAATCCTTACTCTTTAGAAATCCGTATCTGAGGAAGGGACTGCATCTGTAATGAAGTATAACAAAATATGAGTGGGCATGCCTGTAGATGCTGCATTAATCCTTTAGTGGACCTAAAAACCAGCTTGACGCTCTGCCAGCGATCATTTTTGTGAAATTCCGAAGAGGGTCACGGCTGCGGCAAGGAGAGCGCGGATGCTGCGCATTCACAGGAGCGCGGGGACGAGCATCGTGTCAGAAGCTCCATAGTAACAAAAAGGCTCCACAGTCATTACATCTGCTATCGATCCGCTTCGCTAAAGTCCAGTTTTGAAGTCTCGTCAGTTTTTTTTTTCATATATATTTTTTCATTCATATTGGATCGAACTGCACTGAGCAGGGACACTTTTTTATCATGCATACTGTCAAGCTTTTTTGGATGTATGTATATGATTGTACTTTTTTCAAATAAGTTATTAATATATTATTACCTTTTTACTTATTACTTTATCTTTCCCAGCACGCATGGGAAATACTCAGGTTTAGCGGGGGTCACTAACTGTGTCAGCCGGTGCTTGGGTAGCGGTGCCCCTACTGCGGCCAGACTTTTTCCGATGCGAACCCGCTCCCAGACACCTCTCCCACGTGCCTACCGATAAAGGGACCACATTAAAGGGTCTGTACCGCAGTGCCGCGGTTTCTTCATAAATACTACCAGAAGGCTCGACTAATGAAATCGCAACCAATTTAGCAATTGAATTCTGGAGGCTCCTTGTGACTTTAAATAAAAACATCCCATACGGATATAAAATAGGAATCAAGATGTGCGCACGACTTTTGCTATTTTGCTTACATTTCGATTAGGAGTTTTTTTTAATGGATTTTAATGTTTTTCATTTTTGAAGCAAGAATATAAAGTGAGGAAGGCGTAGAGTCCTTCAAAAACCCGCGATATGGTGCCTGAGCTTGCCAACCGCCGCCTGTCAGAGGGGCAGAAATAGTACCGATGACAGCACAGTGTCTCCTGAGATTGCATACGGCATACAAGCAAGACGTGATACACAGAAGAACCACTACAACGTATTACCTTCTCCCTATCAAGAGATGGAAATGTTTTATGCATGTTTCCCTTTATTGCTCCCCTCTCAGGCTTATAAATGCAATACTCTGATGAAACTCAGGCGCGCATTACTGTACTGCTACTGTACAGGTTCACCATTACCATTTAATCTACTGCATGAACCTACTTTTTATGCCAGCAAAACTTTTATACTTTTTAAATACACTGATTTATGTATTTTAAAAGAATGAAACTTACCTTTGCAATTGAGCAAAGGAGTAGGCTATCCAAAAAATGTCCAGAAGGTACCCCCCAAAATCTGCAGCGAATCACAGTTTTTTAAAGGCTACACTTTCGTGTAGAGTAACAACCAGTCCACATGGACATTGGTTTGTTTCTTGCTGCAGCGGGTTTGCCGTGCGGATTGAGAAGCCGCAGCCAAAGCACGGAGAGCCCTGCGGGTGGCAGGGGACACGCAGCGCGAGGTGAGCATCGGCAGCCCCCGGGCGCGAGCCAGGATGCACACAGGCATGCACACAGGCACGCCGTGCTCTATCCCTTTCTCTCTTTTCCCGGAATGTTGGGAGCTGCTTCTTCCGAGGCGTTCCGTTTGGCATTCCTGTCATACTGCCGCGAGCCATCCCCTGGAGATATGTATGCTACACAGCCACCTTATAAGAATAGTTGGTACGAAACACGCTGCAGTGCACTTAAAATCACATTCGTATACAATTCTTGCTAGCTCTTGCTGAATCCAACTCAAACCCAGTGATTTACGTTTGTCCACAAAAGAACAACAACAATAACAAGATGATGATCATAATGTAACAAAACCAGATGTCATTATTAAACGTCAAACCCCTGTTAATCTATCTTAATATTAACGCTAAAATCCAGAATAGGAGTTGGTGCTTTATGAAGAATGCATGATCATTGACCATCGGAAAAGTAGGTAGAAATACTGGAAAATTTCATCCTCACAAAAATTACTTTTTTAAAATTAGCCACACTTTCTACCCTTTCATTTTTTACTTTTGGATGAGATGGTTGATTTTATAAAGGTTAATAACTTGACTATAAACCCATAACTAAAAGTCAGGTCAAGGTTAGTCAAGGTCGCTCTTTGGGAACATCATTCTTTTGACTAATTAAAGCTTGGGTATATTACTTTCTTAATGCTCAGCTTTATAAGTGTCTGCAGACAATTTTCTTTTTTTCTCCCGGTTTAAAGATACAGGCCGGAATGCCAGAAACTCCCACCATTAGGAAGCTAGTATGAGGTAATCAGGGATTGTTAAGAAAAAGTTGGCATGACAGGAATGCAGAATCAGTAAGACTTCAGGAGTAGATGAACATGTCTTCATAGCACAAACCCCAGGAAATCCTCACAGAAACTTTTATTTCTACATTCGTAACCCAACAGAGAAAAGCTGCATTCAAAAATGTTATCTTATATTTAAATTTATCTCCTGTAAAATGGGTTATGCTTCTATGTTGCTACTATTGCATAGTGATATATGACAGAACCCTGCATTTACATCGTCTCTGGTTTGCGTCTGAGGTCAGTAACATCACCAAACAGAGACACGTGTCAAAATGAACTTATCCTCAGAGCACGCTGACAATCTCGCCTTTCTCTCTGCGTTACTGAAATTACAGCTGCAAGAATCTTACAGGTCAATCAGGAAAAATATATAGCCTGGGATTTTCCTGCCAAGGTGCAATCAGGGTGACTGGTCCACAAAGGCAGGAGGGTGTCATGAACAGAAACACTGTTGGCCCTTTACAAACACACAACAGAACAGCATTGTGTGCAGTGCATTCCTGTTTACCAGTGTAGGAATGAGGGCACCCACGGAACCCAGAGCTACATACAGTAAGGGCCTAGATGTTCTGTATTGTCTGCTTTGTGCCAATCTACTGTAGTACCACCATATGAGTCATACATAAGGACATTGTTCACACTGCCCAAACAAGTACCTTTAGAAAACCGATCCACTTACAAGAGTGTTGCATCTCATTTGTGTCCATGTACGAAATACTAATAGTTTTTTAAATTATTATTGTTATTGTTGTTATATGTACAAAGACGTAACTAGTCAGTGTGGATGTGCTACATGGCCTGTATATCTGGAATCCATGTTGTACCACATATAAACAAAAAGCTCATGTATCCATCAGTATGCATTCAGCTCACAGGTTTTATCTCAAGACTCTCGAATTTCTCTGTACCTACTGTTCGCTAGCAAAACCAGCCTGCCAGGCAGATTCTCTCTAATCAGCGTCCTGACAGAATGGGGCTTAAAGGAACAATTTGATCTGCTTTGGTCCAGTGCCGTTAAACTGTTCAGCTGCTTGCACACAGATGTAACGTTCGGAATAATCCCTGGGCACTCCTGTCCTGACAAGCCAGCCTGGTGCTGAGTGAAACCCATAACAAACCGTCACTGTGATTTGTCTCCTTAACAGTGACTTCCTCAAAAACAGGCCTTGGTACTTGACAATAAGCTCCTAAACACACCTGAAACATCATATTAAAATATCTATTCTCAATCTCCTGACCAGAGAGTAGAAGTTCCAAGGAATAATTCCAGGAAGTTTACATTTACATGTTACACCCTATTGATGACTGTGGTAGGTGCTTACATGGGGCTGTTCATGACGCTGCATTTGTAGGAAGCAGACAGTGGCGTCCACTGGCCCCCGCAACCACTCTCCTTGCTCTACAGGGAATGACCTGCTGTTTTTGTTCTTCTACCACATACTGCACTCTGCAATCGCACACAGGACAGCAGAATGATAGATGGCTGTAATGTCTGCTAAGGCAATTGAGAGTGGAAGAACAAAAGGCAAGTTCTTCATCGTGGTTTATTTCACTGCACTCAATACAGTGGCCTGAGTTTTCAGTTTAGTTGTTTTACTAGTGAGAACTTAGAATAACATGATTGATTGAGACTATGAAAATACACGTATGGGACTGTATGTGTAGCAAAAAAGGTCTTTTTTTCCCTTTTTTTGTTAAATTATATTTCTAAGAATAAGCACTCCATATTATAATTCATTTTATTTCCAGCTTACATTCACTTATAAACTATGCTTGTCTGGTTTAATTACTTTCTGTTTTGTTATTTTTGTTACTTTTATCATTAAGTGTGAGTTTTCTCAGAAAACACCTAGAAAAGGCAAATACCCTTGATGTTAAATATGAGTAATGAATGTCATTAATTTACATTTGATTTTAAAATACAGGATTGGAGAGCTATATTTTATTTACACTGTAGCAGTTAGTCTTTTGCTTTGTTGCATTCACGTTTAGTCATACAGTCACCGCACTGTATAAATGTCTTTATTTAGTAATTATAGGCACTTTTGAAGCACTATGTAATAGTTCACTGCCACAGTTAGGTCATTCTCTTGGCATTCATTGGGGCTGAATCAGCATTGCTGGGAATTCTAAAAAGTACTTTGTTGCTATTTTCCTTAAAGAATGAATTATGTTTGTTTAAGTTTTGTCGTACTCATGGGCACATCAACCAAGCAGTTTTTTTCAGACCTTATTGTAATTATTAAAACAATTTCACTGGTTATAATCTAAAATATTGTATTGGTGGTGCTAAACGTGCATAATCTCAGCCAGTGAGGCTTCTGGAAGGGGGCTCCCAGTCTGGGATAGATAGGCAGGATACATTTGTTTTGCTCTGAGTTTATTTGCCATGTATTTGACTGTTGCCTCCATCCTTTGAAGCCAGCACTTTAATATCTACCTGGCTTTTAAAAAACTAACAGGCCTCAGGCTATAAAGTTAAGAAACAATGAAGATGAAATGTTAGGTGCAAGAAACAAATGTATTAGTAACTCGAAACATGCATCAGCGCACACTTTTATTTGGAGTGACATACACAACCAGAATGCAAACTGCATAAACTCTTCACATAGCTGCATAGGTAGTGTGCACAGTGGATGGTTAGTGCTGGTGTTGAAATTCATGCATAGCAAGTGCAAAGTCTTCATTTTGTGGCTGAAAAAGTCAAATGTGGATTGTTAGGTTTAGTCAGAAGTGGTAGAGAAGTTCTTGGGAGTTCAAGTTGTTGGGAGATCATATCAACAAAGTGTTGGAGACAGGACTGTGATACAGAATGGTACCCCCTAGAGGCAGCTTGAGCTATTAAACATTCAGTTGTTACTGATCTGATTTTTCCTGGTGAATAAGTGTCCACTGGTGGACTCATGAGGGGGGGCGGGGCGGGCAACCGCCCCCTTTGGTCCCTCCATGGCTGGGAAAAAAAACGCTACTAAAATACCCTTTAGAGTGGCGAAAATGCCGCTATTGAGTCCCCTTCACATGATTTAAACGCCCTTAGTGCCGTCAAGGATGCCCCCGTCATATGAGGTGATGTGCCCTATAGAGCAAGAAAATGTGTCTTAATGACTGACTGTGTAATGGAGGACATGAGATGCAGGGCCCTATATTGTGCCCTTATAGTGGTCTGAACCGTGGGTGGTCAGTCTTATCCGCACAGGGCCAGTGTGTATGCAGGTTTTTGAGACAACCTTTAGGTCAGCTGTTCAAACACAGGTGTGAGGACTCTTCAGCCAATCAGTCCTCTAATTAGTAATCTAATTAGGGAGTCGCAGCAAAAACCTGCATACACAACGGCCCTATTTGAATAAGATTGGCCACCCTTGGTCTAAATGATCCCTATGGTTACCTTTCCAATAGAAAAGGGTGCCATTACGAAGTGCCCTTCTACTGGAGAGAATGTGATGCAGTGCCCTATACCCTTACATTGGTTTAAATGGCCCCTATGGGTACCCTTCCAATGGAAAAGAGTGCCGTTATTAAGTACCCTTCTGTTGGAGAGAATATGTTGCCCTCTGAGGTGCCCTTCCAAGTGAGAAACCATGATGAAGTGCCCTTGTAATGGAGAGAAAAATTTGTATCTGATGGCTGCTCTTCCAGTGAAGGAAATGAGATATGGTGCCCCGTTAAGAGATGCAGCTTCCTGTACGTGCGAGAAAAGCAGATGGACACCCTCTAGGTGGTCCTATGTGTAAGAAAATGTGATATCTAACTGAAAAAAACACTAGTTCTAGTTGAATAATCTTACATAGTGTATCATTCTACTAGTGTGGGGGTGCACACTTCATGCATTAGGAGCCCATTTTATTTTTCTGCCACTTCTCTTCAAACAACCTGAGTCCGCCACTGTCTTCTTTTGGCATGAAGGTCTGATGGGCAGCTAGTTTCCATGACAACCCAGTTTAGTTTTCCAGTCATCTGTGTGGAGTACACTCCAGGCAGATGTCATCAGCAGTGCTGAGCAAGGTGGACATTGACATCTGTAAGCATGCCCAATGGATTTTTCATCTGTCAGGAAGGATCTTCTGAGTAAAATGGGGTTTTGAAAGATCTCACTGCATTCCAAACAACAGGGTAGCTCAGACAATCTTCTGCTTGAAGTTATGCGTGTTTCTGTGGCTGTGTGGATGCTTTGAGGTCCTGGATCTGCAGATTTTAAGCCTGCCGAACAAAAGACTGGCAGCTCCAAAGGTTTATTAATCCGGTATCTAAGTGTGGAGCAGGCTACAGGTGGGTAAAGTTGCATGTCTGTCACTGCAGGTGATGGATCAGCTGCTGATGGTTTGTCTGAGGTTGGGTGGAGATGATGAATAGATTACAGGTGGCTGCTATCAGAGTTTTTTTCTGCAGATTTATATTTAGTTGAGTTTGGTCTTCTTTCTGGTCTGCTAGGAAAGGTTCCACACACATAATCTTACTACAGTGAAGTTACTATAACTGATCACAAATGTTACATTTGACGCCCACATTAATTAACAAAGGCTCAGTGACTATCCCAATAACTTCACGCTGCCAGATATGTGGGGTCGATCCCCAGCCCTGGTTCTGTCTCTGTATGTATGTTTGAGTTTGTATATTCTTGGTGTGTTTGTATAGAATACCGACAGGAACGCTGATTCCCTCCTGTATTCCATTGGCTGTGGTGTGATTACGTGTGAGTGTTTGCCCCGCATCTGACACCCCATGCAGGGTCCCCCCCCGACTCTTGGCTCCCTGGAGTAGGAGCCAGGTTCACCATGACATAGTCCTGGATAAACAGTTACAGCAGATGTGTGCATATATATAAACAAAATGAGTACAGTTATCAAAAGATAGGCTGGAAAATCCTCTGTCCTCCATAAAATAACAGTTCTGTAACAGTATTAAATCATTCCTTTAATACACTCGGTCTAGACGCATCAGCTGCATAGTCACTCGCTTACAGCTAGCTAAAATTATTGTGTGAATGAGTCGTTAAGGTACATGTCACTCTGGTATCTGGAATATGGTTATTGTCATCTGTCATGAAAAATGCACACGTTAAAGTGGCTCTTTTGCTAAATCAAATACCATCTAAACTGTTATGTTCCGTTCTGTATCTTTTTTTTTTTTTTTTTCAAATAAGTTTTATTTGGTCATTCGAATAATCTTGCAATACTTACAAATTCCAGGATTAATTTTCTGATATACACAAAAACTTACAAAACAAACAAAAAAAAAACAGAACACACATAGAATAGACCCCCTTCCCCAGCCTGCAGGTATACAATACAGTGACAATCAAAACAACTTTATGGTTGCGATACATTGCTTTAAGGAATAGAATTCCTGTTAAGGTAACAGAAGAAAGGGTCCCAAATCCTGTGATATTGTCCAATGTTACCTTTTAAAAGATGTCTGGTTCGTTCCAAGTGCAGAGTAGATATCAGTTCCTCAAGCCATAATTTAGCAGTAGGAGGATTAACCTTTTTCCAGAACAGTAATAGTAGCTTCTTGGCTGTGATCAGGCAGTATGTAAGGAACTTCTGTTGAGCATTACTCAAAAAACATGTAGGATTGGAATGTCCTAATATAATGAGCACTGGGTCTAAATCCAAGTTCACGTCAAGGACATCCAAAATCACTTTAAAAACCTCACACCAGAATCCCTGTATTTTATGGCAGAAAATAAAACTATGAGCTAAATCAGCATCCTGTGATCTGTACTTATTACAAATAGGTGACACATTGGGGAAAATCCTATGTAATCCTTTTTAGAGAAGTGTAATCTATGTAGAACCTTGAACTGAATGAGGCATAATCTACTATTAACTGATTGTTTATCAATATCCTCCAAGCCACTCTGCCAGACCTCTTCTGAGATTTCAATTCCAATCTCTCGCTCCCAGTCCTTTCTGATCAAATTTGTCGAGGGGAAAATAGCTGCTAGTAACTTTCCATAAATTAAAGATAGCTGACAATTGTTTCCCCTGAACTGTGTAAGACAGTCATCAATGACTGAGGGAGTTACCTCATCTAGGGAAACAGTATGTGTACGCAAGTAATTCCTTATCTGTAAGAATCTAAAAATTCTGTATCTTTTTGACGTGTGAGGTCATTGTCCAGTGGCCGCATTATGGATTACTATAGTTCCAGGTCAGCTGTAAGCCTTACACAGTGTGTGGGCAGAACTGCACTCTTAAAACTCATGTCGCTTTTTTATTTAACAATGAGAATAAGTCAGATCGATGTGTCTCAAGCAAGAGAACAAACAAGCTGAACCTGGAAGCGTCACCCTGCAGCATTTCATTACATACCATGGGGTAGAAGGATTGTGTCAGGTGGTAACCCTGTGGACTCACACCTCTGGGCTGTCAGATTGATCCTCGCGCTGTCTGAAGTTGTGTGTAGTACGTGCATGTTCTCCCTGTGTTTTTTGGGTGAATTTTGTTTCATGTGATCGATGTATCTAAATTTCCCTTTGAAACCAGTCAGTGGTGTCTTGTACGCTTTGTGAAGTCAACTTCAAGCACTCTGCAACTCTGCTTGGATAAGTTCATCCATTGATTTCGCAACCACATACTCAGGGCAGAGTTACAAGGGGCCTGGAATTAACCCCAGGAAGCAAAGGGTAAAGGGAGGAGATACACTAGACTGGATGACAGTCCATCACAGGGTAAACACTCACACACTATGGGATAGAGATGCCAATTAGCCTGACTGTGGTTAGGAACCAGCAAGATAGAGTGAGGACTTGTGAACTCATACAGAGTGCAAGCAGGATTCCAGACCGTAATGCTGGAACCGTGAGGCAATAGCATTACCCACTGAGCCACTGTGCTGCGCACTAAGGTAAGCGATTATGGAAAATGGATAGATGTTGGGTAAACATTCTAACTCACAGCTGACACATGTGCGGTTTTTGTAGTGTCACAACAGTTTGCTTTATAGCTGTGAAAATTGACTTTGAAGAACCTTAAAAAAAAGAAGAAAATAGTCAAGCGTTGAAACTTAACCTTCAGACATCATGTTTGCGATGCCAGTGATGCACTGAGCTGTATAAGGCTGCCATCTAGTGGCTAACGTGATATGAGCACATTAGATCTGTACTGTTGTTTCCCTGTCCACGTTTCTCGTTGTGTCTTTATTAGGGGAAAGGTGCCCCAAAGTCCCGCAATTACAAAAAACATGATTATTAAAAAGTGGAATATCTTCATGTGAAATGGATCAAAAGTAGGCCGACACCACGCGCACTAGTATAGAGGATACATGCAATATCGGTACATTGCAGCAGTTTACTTTATCTTACCAACATACAATGGATATGTGTCCCTTTAAAGGAAAAGAAAGTATCAGGTTTAAGGAAAAGGGAGGCATGCCGGGTTAGAGGCGGTTCCTTTCAGCTCCGGGAGAGTTAGTAGCCACGGAAAGCACAGTCGGTTTCTCCAGGGGTAAATATGTCTATAACGATCTTATCATCTTTTATATAATAATATAAAACGATGATGCTTTAAAATGTATGACGTCACAACGAAATGGAAATATAATGGTATGTTTTAAATAACTCAGAGTGTGCCATTTACTGTGACATGGATATAGGTAATTGAATGAAACTACTGAATGATCCCAGATTTCAAAAATTCGCAGTATCGTATCGGAGTTCATTGCAATGTGAGGCTGAGTTTGCAAACCTACTAGAGGAAGGTGTTATGATTACAGTAATTCGAGACGAGGGATCATTGTTTATACATATATAGTGTTTTTTTCCATCGGGAACAATTGTTTGTGCGTAGTATATAATAACGTACGTCGTTATCCATTTCCAAGAATAAAGTTTTGCAACCTGTTTTCATAGTATTTGGGATGAAGAAGGTCCCAAGGATCGTGGTGGTGGGGGCGGGAATAGCAGGAATCGGAGCCGCTTCCGAACTTCGGGATGCGGGATTCAGTGATGTGACTATCCTGGAAGCCACGGGGGAGATTGGGGGGAGAATCGGCAAATATCAGCTGGGTAAGTGCGTGATGTCCCATTTGGAGCTATTCTTCAGAAGTAATGTCTGTCATCCAAATTCTATCTGTCACAAGGACCCTGAAGTATTCTTTAAAAACCTTGCAATTTCTGATCAGCAAAAGGAGAAGTGAAACTGTATATACTTTTGTCATGTGAAAATTTTGTTCAGTGTTTTTTGAGAGGACAAAAAACTTGTGACTTCCACTTCCTTTTGGTGAAAGTGTGTGGAGTGAGCGTAAGTAACCTTCCTGGAACACAATGAAATAAAAACTATATTTATATACAACTGCATATAAATATTTGCTAAGATAACCTTTCTGGTTTAGCTGGTGTTATATGTGTTCTATAAATGGTAACAAAATGCTTCAACAGGAAAAGCTTGGATAGACACAGGAGCTCAATACATCCATGGGACCAGTGAGACAAACCCTGTTTACTGCCTCAGCAAAAAATTTGGCATTTTAGACAATGTTCCTAAAGAGGAAGGAAGGTGGAGCATCCTAAGTGAAAAGGGGAGCAGAGTCGATGAGGACTTTGCAGAGCGTGTGTATGGAGCAGGAGAAATGCTCATCAGGAAGAGGTACCAAGATCACCAAAGAAGCATTGGAGAACATTTTGTAGAAGAGGTCCAAAAGCTGACGGCGAACTGGGAGGCCAGCACCGAGGAAAAGAGGCTGATGGATGGAATCCTGAGTATGGTTGGAAAAGATCTGCTTATAGACACTGGAGCCTCCGACCTCAAGAGCGTATCGCTGGGATCGTGGAAGTACTTCCATGCCGATACTGACGGGGATCTAAACATTGAAGGGTATTCCGAGCACCACGTTTTGCAGTTTGGTGAAATTATGATGTAATGATATTTTTTTCAAGCAATGCTTGAGTATAATTTGATTTATATTGGGTCTATCTTTATGCTTTAGGAACATGTTTGATTTGCCATCCAAACTACTGAAGGAGTTTCCAGATGAATCTTTACTTCTGAAGAAGCCTGTAAGGAAGATTGAGTGGGATGGCTCCTTCAGAACTGGGAATGGAGAACAGCACCCAGTGCGTGTGGAGTTTGGAGATGAGGAGGAGATACTTGCTGATCATGTTGTGGTGACTATCTCCTTGGGTATGTCCACACTTATGGTCATATACATACACCATATGGACAAAAGTATTGGGACACACCTCTTAATCATTGAATTCAGATGTTTCATTCAGACCCATTGCCAGAAGTATATAAAATCAAGCACCTGGTCATGCAGTCAGGCTTACAAACAACCATTTTCTGAAAACGCTAAATCGCATCTGAGGTCACAGGGGGTACCAGAGCCTATCCTGGGAACAATGGGTGCAGGTGGCAACCAACCCTGGGCAGCTGACAGGAGAGCGTTACCTGCCTGACTGCAGTGTGCCAACTGTACATTTTGGTGGAGGAGGGATAATGGTTTGGGGGTTTCTCAGGGATTTGGCTAAACCCTTTAGTCCCAGTAAAGGACACTTAACAATTCTATGCTTCCAACTTTGTGGGAGCAGTTTGGAGAAGAGCCCTTTTCTGTTCCAGCATGACTGTGCCCCAGTGCACAAAGCATGGTCCCTAAAGACATGGTTGGGTGAGTTTGCTGTGGAAGAACTTGACTGGCTCACACAGAACCCCACTAAACACCTTTGGCATGAACTATCGCTGCCTGACCTCACAAATGCCCTTCTGGAAGAATGAACTAAAATTCCCATAAATTCACTTCAAAATGTGGACAGCCTTCCCTGAAGAGTGGCAGCTGTTATAGGTGTAAAGAGGGGACCAACTCTGTATTGATGCCTAAGGACTTAGAATGTGATGTCATAAAAGTTCCTGTAGATATAATGGCCAGGTGTCCCAATACCTCTGTCCATTTAGTGTAGCTTATGGATTTTTACATGAAGTATAACTTTTCCTGGGGGCTGGCACCTTGGCACAGTGATTAACACTGTTGCCTGGGACAGGAGTTTGCATCTTCCCAGGCTACACGTGAGGCATGTGTGGCTACATGTGAGGCATGTGTGGCTACATGTGAGGCGTGTGTGGCTACATGTATGTGTGTAGTGGGAGTGGCGGGTAGGGCCCCCCCCCCACAAGGGGAAACTTTTATAAAAATCTGTGACTGCAATCAAAAAACAAAAAATGCCAAAAGTCTCGTATTTTGTTTGGTTACTTATGGTTAAGGTTAGGGCTGGGTGGGGGTTATGGTTGTCATTGTTGGGATTTGAATTTTACCCTTAGAAATGAATGGACGGTCCTCACAAAGATGTGAATACAAATGTGTGTGTGTGTGTGTGTGCGTGTGTGTCTGCAATGGGTTGGTGCCCCATCAGGGTCTTGGGGGCCGAGAGCCTATCCCAGGCAGCATATGGCATGAGGATGTGGTACACCTTAGATGGGATGCCAGCCCTGTATCTTCAGTTTCTGTAATTTCTCGAGAAGTCTATCACGGTGTGACTCAGTGTGCATGTCTGGTGCCTGCTCACCACAGATGAATCACGTTTCACAGGCTGCCTGAAAGCACAGGCCTCCACACTTTTCAGTCCTCAGCTCCCTGAACACAAGCTTCAGGCCATTGACTGTGTCAGGTTTGGCACGCTCACTAAGATCTTCTTGGTGTACGAGGAGGCTTTCTGGGATGATGACGTGAGCGAGATCAGTCTGTTGTGGGAGGATGAGTCTCCCGTTTCGCTGGATGCTGACCCTGCCCAGTGGGTTAAACACTTACATTTCTTCTCCGTCATGAAACCCAAGGAGAAGTAAGCTCTTTGTTCATTATCACCTTTTCAAACTGTCATTTTATTATTCTGTAGTAGATATCATTTCCCAGAGGTGGATAGTTCCGGTCCAGAAAATACAAATCCAGAGTACACAATTGGTTGATTGAAACAAAATCTTGTTCTGGATTTTTACTTTTCTGGACCTGAACTATCAATCTCTGCTATTTCCAATGGATTTGAGACAATTCTAAGTTATAACTAATCTGCCTCCTCAGATTTGGCAATGTTCTAATTGGATGGTGTGCAGGAAGGGTTGGGGAGCTGACAGAGACCATGAAGGAAGAAGACCTCTTGGCGGCCATTACTGAACACCTCAGAGCATTTACTCGTGAGTATCCCTGAACACCTCAGAGCATTTACTCGTAAGGATCCCTGTTCTGTGACACAGTGGCTGTAAATACTTGGTATACAGACATCAGCTAAAAAAAAACAAGTAATAAATGCATCACAGGCTCCGGGTTACGAATGTGCGATTTAAAGACAACTCGTACTTACAAATGGACTGCCATAAAGGCTGTTTTATTAAAACGTTGACTTAAATACAATGGTTTGTAATAATGAATGCACACACTACTTTGTGACGTTCATCAGCAGTTCATTGACTCCAGGTACAGTTCAGTACCCTATGTAGTTACTTTTATTACTGTATTATTATTATTGTTGTTGTTGTCATTCCAACTTACTTAAAAATATCTGACTTAAATGCAGACTTATGGAATGGATCTTTTTTGTAATCTGGGGACTGCCTGTAATGGTCAGCAAAATGAATACTGAGTTTTTAAGACGGTCTAGATAAAATGAATATCATTAATGAACACATAGTGAAATGCCTCTTTTGTGGTCGGCCAGGGAACCCATCTCTCCCTCCCCCCAAAAGCATGTTCCGCACACAGTGGTACAGTAACCCCTTTACCCGGGGGGCTTACACGTACCTTCCCGTCGGCACTGACGCTGAGGTTATGGATACGCTGGCACTGCCCCTCTCTGGCACCAAGGCCACCAAACCGGTAGGTCTGGTGTTTATTTACAGATGGAGATAATTTAAATATTTTACCTTCATGTTTTTACATCTGACACTTGTCCTGTTTGTTTTGATGGCAGCTTTGCAAATGTGTTGGCATTTGCAGCTGTTAGCTGTTTTAATGATGCCCCATTGCATTGGGTTTTGGTGTAACAACCTGGTGGACTTCTACGGACTGTTTTCAGGATCTCCAGCTGCTGTTTGCTGGAGAAGCTACCATGAAGAGCCTGTACAGCACAGTGCAGGGGGCCCTGCTGTCTGGGCAAAGGGAAGCGCAGAGGCTTGCTCAGCATTATGGAAAGGTGGCATCTCCTGCCTCACACTGCTCACTCTCACCTCAGCATCAAGGAGAGCCTCTGCAGCCTCAAACAGTACTGTGATGTCATTGAAAGAGTACTATGACATCATTCAAACAGCACTATGACATAATTCAAAGACTCTCTGATGCTTTGCTTCGATGTAAGCCACTGATTCAAGCTAAAACTGTTTGTCTGGTTTACTGAACAGCTGAATAAGCTTGTTAGTTTATTTGATTTGTAGAAGGAAAACTACACTATGTTAAATATCAAATTTTAATATAGTCTACTAAGTACTATTTTAATATAGTAATACTAATATTAGCAGTGCAAAACGGAGAGTGTTTGTCTGGCCAGCTTTGTTTATGCAAGTTATTACTAAACTATTGGAACTAATACAAATATATTTTTAAAAACTATTCTGTTTTCTAGAGCTTTTTTCATGTTGACAATGCAAAGAATGACACTGACACTGCAACAGTACATCCTAATTTGCAGGTGGTTTAATACCCAGAATTATATGTGACATATACCATGAGTGAATTTATTTTTACGTTTTATATTTAGAGGTGAAGTGAGATGGGATGTTACGTTGTGTAGTGTGGGTTGCATGGTGCCTCAGGGAATAGCACTGTTCCTTTGCACTTCCAGGATTGGAGGTTCAAATCGGTGTGTGATGTTTGTACATTCTCTTGATATCATGTGGCTTTCCTTTAGGTAGTCTGATTTGCTCATGCAATCCAAAACCACACAGTTAGGCAAAATGACATGTCTAAACTACCCTGTGATGGACTGGCATCCTGTCCAGGGTGTGCCAGGGGTTGCCCTGTGCTGCCTGGCATAGGCTCCAGATCCCCTCACCAAGGTTGCCAACTTTGGTCAGTTGACTGGTATAAGATTTTCAATTCGAGACAAATCTACACACACATGCACAAACATTTATATTTATGTAAAAGTTTTATTACTTTTTTATGTAAGCGTAAGTATCATGTCAGATGCATGAGAGTTGACAACCCTACTGACCTGACCGGTGTGCAGGTTGGTGCCTTGTATGGCAGCCTCTGCCACCGGTGTGTGGATGTGTGTGTGGATGGGTGAATGTGAGGCGTAAATTGTAAAGCGCTTTGAGTACTCATAGGAGTAGGAAAGTGCTATATAAATGCAGTCCATTTACCATTTTGAAGATGGATAGTGTTGTGGTGACTCCACTGGAACCATTGCTGCATTCTATCTCCAGATCCCCAGTGTTGGGTTTGAATCCCTCCCCCATCTGTAGAACATATAAGTATCCAGCCCAAAAACCTGCAGTGTGGAGGAATAGTGTTTCTAAATGTAAGGTAATTCATGCAGGGAGCAGAAATATAAAGAACAGATATTTTATGGGTTCCACTGAAATAAAGGTAGCTGATTACAAGAAAGATCTCGGTGTGTATGTTGATGCTTCCATGTCCCACTCTAGCCAGTGTGGGGAAGCAATCAAAAAGGCCAATAGAATGTTGGGTTATATCTCAAGGTATGTGGAGTTTAAGTCAAGGGAGGTGATGCTACATTTACAGTCATGTGAAAAAATTAGGACACTGCATTAAATATTTAGTTCTTAATTAAGAAATTGCAACATATCAATATTAAATCTTCTTTCAAATTATATCTTGTAGATGATGGTGATGAAATTGCATCATCTATGCAAAAACAAGAAACAAATTCACTTATTTATGAAAAGAACTTAACTACGATCCTAATTTCCACTGAGGAAAAAGTTAGGACACCCTCACATTCATCACAATTTAAAATTCATAGAATTAGATTCAGGTGGCACCATATCAGGGGGAAATGATCAGAACATCATTACAGAGCTTTTTGGTGGAGCCTGTCTTATTTAAACCATAGACAATTAGTTTGGTTTGCTCTTGATTGTTGAAATGAGTGGTATCATCATACTGAGATCCAAAAGAGCTTGCTGAGGCCTTCAGAAAGAAGCTTGTTGATGCACATGAGTCTGGGAAGGATATAAAAAGATCTCAAGAGAGTTTGGAATCAGCCATTCTACTGTCCGGAAAATATTTTATAAGTGGAGAACATTTAAAACAACTGCCAGCATGGCCAGGGCAGGTTGTCCAAGCAAGTTCAGGCAAAGAACCGGCCGCAAGATGCTGAAAGAAGTCTCCAAAAATCCTAAAATGTCATCACGGGTCAAACAGGAAGCTCTTGCCACAGTTGATGTCAAGGTACATGCATCTACCATCAGAAAGAGACGCACAAGTTTGATTTTCATGGGAGGAGGAAGGAGGAAACCCTTGCTGTCAAAAAAACATCTGGGCAACACTGAAGTTTGCCATTAACCCACCTAGACAAATACTGGGATTTTTGGAACAACATGCATTGGACTGATGAATCTGAAATTGAATTATTTGGGCGCAGTAACAGAGGACATGTTTGCCGTAAACCAAAGACAATTTTTGAGCAAAAGAACTTCATACCAACTGTGAAGCATAGGGGTGGAAATGTCATAGTTTGGGACTGCTTTGCTGCAGCAGAACCTGGCCAGCTCACCATCATAGAATCCACTATGAATTCTTCATCATATCAGAGGGTGCTTGAGGACAATGTGAAAACATCTGTCCAGATGTTGAAGCTGAAGTGGGGGTGGACCATGCTAATGAGAATGACCCAAAACTTTCCAGTAAATCTACCAAGGAATGGCTTACAAGAATAAACGGAGAGTTCTGGAATGGTCAAGTCAAAGCCCGGATCTGAATCCTATTGAGATGCTGTGTAGTGATTTGAAGCGGAAGTGCATGCAAGACACCCTTCAAACATCACACAGCTTAAGGAATTCTGAATTGGAGAGTGGGGGAAACTTTCTGCCAGTCAATGTCAGAGATTGATAGATGGTTATAAGAACATAAGAACATAAGAAATTTCCAAATGAGAGGAGGCCATTTGGCCCGTCAATCTTGTTTGGAGAGAACTTAACTGATAACTCAGAGTTGTTAAAATCTTATCTAGCTCTGATTTAAAGGAACC